TCCAACACTGGTGTTTAACTCCACTTAGGTGACTAGGAGTAGAGCTACTCTCCCTGGATGGGTCGCTAATCCATCTCAGGTTACTGCCTAAGATTTTCACTCTCCTTGGTGGAGGGAGGCACTGTCCAAGTACTATGTCACCCAAGAACAGAATACAGTGACCCTGGCCAGGTTTAAACCTGGATCTCTCTCAACTGGAAGTCAAATGCACTAGAGCCATCAGGCAGCCACATCTCCTCAACTTGGGGTATGCTTAACACACAAAAATAATGTCACACAACAAAATGGCTCTACAGGTAAGAGTCGATGTGGGATGTGAGTGTCTGTAAGGGTTAACCCTGATAATTATTGAAAGCTAACCATTGTCAAGTCAGTGATATTTAGGCTAACCTGAGCACTATCTAGGCTAGCCAGAATGCCATTTCATCATTTTGCCATTTCGTGTATTAAACACACTCCTCCTCTTCAACCATTGACCAAAATGAGTAGCACATTTTCAAATCAAATTCCTACAGTGCACTGCCACAATAAGCACAGCAAAGTTCTAAAAACTAGAGCAATGACATCTAATTTTGAAGTACAATAACAATAGAGATGCACATGCAACATCTGTCTTCTTCCTATCTCTATATGGGGAGAACTTGCTTACACAGCCTATGGTATTGCAGTCAAATCCCCATAATAAGGAAACTGTATGGACAACAGAAAATGCCCATAAAAGTGGGGAAGAAGATCTGCTTTCAAGATACAGGACCCCAAATGAATGTCCACAAAAGGTGTTATTATACAGTGTTCACAATCTATTTTGAACTTACTCAAATTCAGCTACAGTTTCAAATGACAGTTCAGTTTGCATATGATTTCACTAAAGAGGGAACTTTAAGAATTCTCAAAATGTAGAGAAATATTGGAAATCATTACTTGAAGGTAATTTAGTTCAGATTCTACTGAAATGATGCCAAATGTCCTACATAAGATATATCTACAGGGAATCAGGGTCTAGTTGTCAGAATTTAACTTCGTCTAGTCTTGGATTATAAGTTTTGTTGAATACAAATTCCATGCTTCCCGGCTGTCAAACTCATAGCAGGAAGTATGCACCAGATTTTTCCAGTTTACTTTTATAAGGTTATAGCTTGTAATGTAGTAATAATTCTTAATTAGTAATAACTTATGTCATTTTCATGCATCATTCTGCTACAGTTTAGTATGTACAGGGAAAAAAACATCACAGCTTGGCTAGTGATCTTGCCCTTTTCTTTAATGTTTCTCGCCTCCACATTGTAGCTTGTTCAAGCTTCTATCTGACTTCCGTCTATAGGATGTACAGACCCATTGATGGAAGGGGTCGACACAAACTCAACATAGCAGTTTTCAGGAAATTCACAAGGTGCACTATCCAGTTCAAGTAACACCACCCTAGCAGGATTCTGGCTGATGGACAGCACATTTGCTGGGACAAACAAGGTGATCTGTGGACCGACTACAGGCCAGTACCGACCCAAGTTAAAGCCATTGACAAATGCTTGCCCTTTACTCCATCCTGGCAGCTGAAGAAATGTGTCAGAAGAAGAATTTACCAGAAATTCTCCATGGAAAAAGGAAGGGGCAAAGCTGTCATCCATATTGGATAATTCTGTCTTGTGTTCATCAGAGAGAGGTAAAAAGGAAGAATCTTCTGCGAACAGATTTTCTAAGTTAGTAGGAAAGATCTGCCAGTTCAGTAGTATAGTTCCACTTAAGGTGACATTGCCAAGGATTCCCTTAGCATCATCAGTCCCTCCACTCAGTCGTCCCATATTCTCCACTAAAATATCTAGCTGTAGAAAGTCTCCAATGTCAAGAGGTACCGTTTGGTTTCCTGGATAACCAAACATTGTGGCTTGACGGACTTGGCCAACGTAGATAATTGCCCTGTCACGTAATAAACCACTGACACTCAAGGTGGCACTAGACTGGTAAAACGAATCAGGAATCTTTGTTCTATAGACAATGAAGCCATAGTTCTGTCCAATCTGTTCCATTGTTAAAGGAAAAGTTGCATTCACAGGACCAAAGGGAAGATACAGTATTGGCAAAGCCTCAAGAAAGGTCCTTATTCGGGACATTTGAACTTTACCATAGGCAAACTTTGTTGTGTTAGCAGGGACTGGCATAACTGGCAACTTCTCATGCTTGGCAATTGTCTCTTTCAGAATGCGAAATTTTGTTGTGGTATCACCAGCTTCTGTCAAAGGTGCATCGTAGTCATAACTGGTTATGCTTGGTAATAAAAAGTGTGCAGATTTGTTGTAACCTGCACCATTCATAAAACCAAAGTTAGTGCCACCTTCATACATGTAAAAGTTCACGGAGGCATTCATAGAAAGGATCTTGTCAAGAGTACTAGCTACCATTGATGCTGGCCGCGTTTGGTGAGGCACACTCCAGCGGTCCAACCAACCCGGGTAAAACTCGGTATTGACCAGGGGTCCATGGGGGGAGAATTTGCGCATAACTGCAAATGCCTTCGCTGGGTCTGTGCTTGCTCCAAAGTCTACAGTGGCATAAAGTGATGGGATAGTTCCACACTGTAAGTCAGCCTCAGAATCACCGTCTACTGTAAAAAGAATGATGTCGTTGCCAAGATACTGGCGGAATAACTGCTCAAGAAATTTGAGGTAATCATGATCACAGGCGAAGTAAGAACCATATTCGTTCTCAACTTGAACTGATATGATTGGTCCTCCATTAGCGTACAGCAGAGGTTGGAGTTTGGGCAGAAGCACGCCCATCCATGACTGCACATAGGTCGTGTACTGATGATTGTCCATGGATCTTAAGATAATTGAGGTGTTCTTCACCAACCACGGTGGGTAGCCGCCAAACTCCCACTCAGCACAAATGTAAGGACCTGCTCTGACGATCACTAGAAGCCCAAGGCTGTTGGCGAGCTCGATAAAACTCACGACATCTGCATCTCCCTCAAAGTTGTATTGCCCCTGAACTGGTTCGTGGATATTCCAAGCAACGTAAGTCTGCACAGCGTTCAAACCTCCGGCTTTCATTTTCATGAGCCTGTCTTTCCAATAAAAACGAGGAACTCGAAAATAATGAAGGCTCCCGGAAATGTAACGAAATGGCTCTCCATCCTTCAGGAAACAGTCGTTTTTGTAGTCAATGACGAAAGATCGAGATTCCGAGAAACGCACTGCGTAAACAAGGGCAAAGAAGAAGAGAAGGTACTTCAGACCGGCAGCCATCGTGCTCTCACTCCAAAGCTTATGAATGTCATGTGATAAATAGACTCGAGGCTCATTGAAATTCGACACCTGTCACACATCATCACGCAACAGGTCACGCCATGTACTGAATCTTCACGGTCCTTCACGTGCAAGAATAATATGCGTTTATTTCTTAGCCTGCGAACGGGCTCCCGGCGAGCCCGAAAGAAGCTCCTCCTCGATCGCTTCGCTCTCCAGATTCTTCAGATTCACGTTTCGCGCTCGCCGAATTTTTTTCCGTTCTTGCCTTGAGCCTGTTCGCAGGCTATTATTTCTTTGTTTCGTGCGTAGGGGGTCCTTGCTGCTTTGATCTAAATTGGATTATTTTCACCTTTCAAATTAACGTTGCTAGCCTATCCTTGCTCTAGAGTAAAGAGTTATTTTCTGGTAGACTTTCTGCAGACTTACGTGTTGAATTTAGTTTTTCCCAAAGCTTTTCAGGTTGGCGTATACTAAAACAACTTTTCCCCAATTATTAAATTCCCTCAGTGTTCCCTTAGATTTCGCCTCCACTGCGGGAAATAATTTTTAATAATTCACGTTAAACCGAAAATATAATACATATACACGTTTTTGTTTGTTTGTTTGTTTGTTTTTGTTTGTTTTTGTTTTTTGTTTTTTTTTTCCAACAGCTTCGCAGTCACCGTATCGACCTCGGCTCTACCAGTCCTTCATAAGCTTGACAGTCACGTGACAGTTTTTTCTTAGCTCAAGTGATGGGTTACCAAATTTCCATAGTTATGGGGCTCCGCTCCGGCTAAAACTATAAATTGGCCGTGTGAACGCAGACGTATTTCCGTAGATAAACGACAGCAGGAAGAACGTCTGCACTCGCAGGCTAGCGTTCAAGGGACTCTTTCTATATTTTGTGACATCTCCATTCCTCCTCTGTGACTGATCCAGCTAAAGCCCATCCAACTAATGCTCATGGTGAGCTCATCATGATACAAGCAAAATATTGATTGCACGACACGCAGGCACCCCTTTACACAACTTCCCTTGTTCCTGAATAAAACGCCCTGTTTATAACCAGTATCCTCGAATTCCAACAGTCGCATTTATTTTTCTTCGTTTTGGTTCTTGCATTTTTGCTCGTTTATATGTCTTGGTTGTTTAAAATATTGGGTTACATCTCTATGAACAACAGACATCAACAGTTTTCCATTCATTCCCAGGGTAGCCTGGGAACAAGGCCGAGCTAGCCGAGTGTGGTCTAGAACGAGCGGAATTCTCAGGTGACTCTTCCCATACTATCCCAGGGCTTTCTGGTTTTCACTATCGACACGAGCACAAGGTTAAGCGCAAACAAAACAGCTCTTGTTTCACTGTGAAAACGGTTTCAACGCAAGAATAAGCACAATGTGACTCAAGGGCAAGCACAAGGATCAAAATTTTTCCTTTTTTTCTGCTTGCACTTGTGCCTGCCTTCCGTATGCCATGTGAAAACGAAACACCACATAAGCACAAGGAAATTTACTTCTTGCTTATCTAATCAACAACTAGATCCGTGACCAAATTATACAATATCAGAGGTCTATACAACTGTTATGGACTTTGACTGTTGCGGAATAAAGACCACTGACAAACATTTGCTAAACACGACTCAAATATCAGGTGGCTCAACACTAAATTTAGCATGCAAATAGACGATAACCTCCATGTGAAAATATGCTCGGATATTTGTCCACGGACATTATCAGTTCAGAAAAGCGCATAGCTCGAGGAAACCTGTGAGCTTTGAGAAACAGATAATGTCCAAGGAATTAAATGAATGCAGTACTGAAAACCCGCGTGTAAGAACCTACATTTTTTTAAGTCTGGCAAGATAGGTTTTTGTATTTTGGGGTAGTAATTGGCAATAAGTAGGTTCTTAATTAGGTTCTTAATTTCTATGAAGGAGATATAGTTGATGATTACCAGAAAAATAAATAAACAGTATTATTCACAATTGCATTATGATAAGCGTAGCACTACTGGTTATAGAACTCGCGTATATGTAGTCTATGTAGTGTTGCCTCTGTAACAAGAGTTCATAATTTAACTGTAACCTACATATAAGAAACTGATTGATCTCGCTTGGCTCAACAGGTTCTTATATTTTGGGTATTAAAATGGAAATTTCTGCCAGCAGGTTCTTAATCCTCTAGTTCTTACACGCGGGTTTTTACTCTATTTGATGGATTATAATTATCAACATCACTCGGTAACTTATCAGTGGCATATTTATAACATTTACCTTTAAAACATGTGATTCTATCAATTCTAACTGTTTTAAGAGTTTTGATACCATTTCGCTGAAGTCTGTTTTGGGGGATCCCTCAAGAACTTTCAAAACTAGATTGATTAGAAGTTCTTGTCAAAATATATATAAAAAACATTTGCTTGGAACAGTGTTGCGATGAACATCGTCTCTTGGCAATATTCATTTCATGCAAAATAAAAAAAAAANCTCTCCTTGGTGGAGGGAGGCACTGTCCAAGTACTATGTCACCCAAGAACAGAATACAGTGACCCTGGCCAGGTTTAAACCTGGATCTCTCTCAACTGGAAGTCAAATGCACTAGAGCCATCAGGCAGCCACATCTCCTCAACTTGGGGTATGCTTAACACACAAAAATAATGTCACACAACAAAATGGCTCTACAGGTAAGAGTCGATGTGGGATGTGAGTGTCTGTAAGGGTTAACCCTGATAATTATTGAAAGCTAACCATTGTCAAGTCAGTGATATTTAGGCTAACCTGAGCACTATCTAGGCTAGCCAGAATGCCATTTCATCATTTTGCCATTTCGTGTATTAAACACACTCCTCCTCTTCAACCATTGACCAAAATGAGTAGCACATTTTCAAATCAAATTCCTACAGTGCACTGCCACAATAAGCACAGCAAAGTTCTAAAAACTAGAGCAATGACATCTAATTTTGAAGTACAATAACAATAGAGATGCACATGCAACATCTGTCTTCTTCCTATCTCTATATGGGGAGAACTTGCTTACACAGCCTATGGTATTGCAGTCAAATCCCCATAATAAGGAAACTGTATGGACAACAGAAAATGCCCATAAAAGTGGGGAAGAAGATCTGCTTTCAAGATACAGGACCCCAAATGAATGTCCACAAAAGGTGTTATTATACAGTGTTCACAATCTATTTTGAACTTACTCAAATTCAGCTACAGTTTCAAATGACAGTTCAGTTTGCATATGATTTCACTAAAGAGGGAACTTTAAGAATTCTCAAAATGTAGAGAAATATTGGAAATCATTACTTGAAGGTAATTTAGTTCAGATTCTACTGAAATGATGCCAAATGTCCTACATAAGATATATCTACAGGGAATCAGGGTCTAGTTGTCAGAATTTAACTTCGTCTAGTCTTGGATTATAAGTTTTGTTGAATACAAATTCCATGCTTCCCGGCTGTCAAACTCATAGCAGGAAGTATGCACCAGATTTTTCCAGTTTACTTTTATAAGGTTATAGCTTGTAATGTAGTAATAATTCTTAATTAGTAATAACTTATGTCATTTTCATGCATCATTCTGCTACAGTTTAGTATGTACAGGGAAAAAAACATCACAGCTTGGCTAGTGATCTTGCCCTTTTCTTTAATGTTTCTCGCCTCCACATTGTAGCTTGTTCAAGCTTCTATCTGACTTCCGTCTATAGGATGTACAGACCCACTGATGGAAGGGGTCGACACAAACTCAACATAGCAGTTTTCAGGAAATTCACAAGGTGCACTATCCAGTTCAAGTAACACCACACTAGCAGGATTCTGGCTGATGGACAGCACATTTGCTGGGACAAACAAGGTGATCTGTGGACCGACTACAGGCCAGTACCGACCCAAGTTAAAGCCATTGACAAATGCTTGCCCTTTACTCCATCCTGGCAGCTGAAGAAATGTGTCAGAAGAAGAATTTACCAGAAATTCTCCATGGAAAAAGGAAGGGGCAAAGCTGTCATCCATATTGGATAATTCTGTCTTGTGTTCATCAGAGAGAGGTAAAAAGGAAGAATCTTCTGCGAACAGATTTTCTAAGTTAGTAGGAAAGATCTGCCAGTCCAGTAGTATAGTTCCACTTAAGGTGACATTGCCAAGGATTCCCTTAGCATCAGCAGTCCCTCCACTCAGTCGTCCCATATTCTCCACTAAAATATCTAGCTGTAGAAAGTCTCCAATGTCAAGAGGTACCGTTTGGTTTCCTGGATAACCAAACATTGTGGCTTGACGGACTTGGCCAACGTAGATAATTGCCCTGTCACGTAATAAACCACTGACACTCAAGGTGGCACTAGACTGGTAAAACGAATCAGGAATCTTTGTTCTATAGACAATGAAGCCATAGTTCTGTCCAATCTGTTCCATTGTTAAAGGAAAAGTTGCATTCACAGGACCAAAGGGAAGATACAGTATTGGCAAAGCCTCAAGAAAGGTCCTTATTCGGGACATTTGAACTTTACCATAGGCAAACTTTGTTGTGTTAGCAGGGACTGGCATAACTGGCAACTTCTCATGCTTGGCAATTGTCTCTTTCAGAATGCGAAATTTTGTTGTGGTATCACCAGCTTCTGTCAAAGGTGCATCGTAGTCATAACTGGTTATGCTTGGTAATAAAAAGTGTGCAGATTTGTTGTAACCTGCACCATTCATAAAACCAAAGTTAGTGCCACCTTCATACATGTAAAAGTTCACGGAGGCATTCATAGAAAGGATCTTGTCAAGAGTACTAGCTACCATTGATGCTGGCCGCGTTTGGTGAGGCACACTCCAGCGGTCCAACCAACCCGGGTAAAACTCGGTATTGACCAGGGGTCCATGGGGGGAGAATTTGCGCATAACTGCAAATGCCTTCGCTGGGTCTGTGCTTGCTCCAAAGTCTACAGTGGCATAAAGTGATGGGATAGTTCCACACTGTAAGTCAGCCTCAGAATCACCGTCTACTGTAAAAAGAATGATGTCGTTGCCAAGATACTGGCGGAATAACTGCTCAAGAAATTTGAGGTAATCATGATCACAGGCGAAGTAAGAACCATATTCGTTCTCAACTTGAACTGATATGATTGGTCCTCCATTAGCGTACAGCAGAGGTTGGAGTTTGGGCAGAAGCACGCCCATCCATGACTGCACATAGGTCGTGTACTGATGATTGTCCATGGATCTTAAGATAATTGAGGTGTTCTTCACCAACCACGGT